AGACACAATGATCTCAGATTGCTGAGTGGTGAATCCTAAAACAATATAAAACATTATTATTTGCTACATACACATTGATTCAACAAGCATAATCATAAAAACAAGAGTTTCAATAATAATTTGGGGAGGGAGAAAAAATCCATCACTTCCTATATATAAATATCATTAAAGATTATGTAACACTTAATAATGAGGCAGATTTTTTTTAATTTTTAGGGACTATGAAGATTTAATGTGCTTCACAAATCAACATCCCTTGCACTGCACTCTTACACATTTTATACAAAACCCGGTTTGTACGTTAAATGAAAAATGTCTTTTGCTTCAAATACAAAGCAAACTATTGCAATTTGGAAGTTTTGTTGGAAGCTTTGTTTTGTTGAACTTACTACTTACAGGAACAAACCTAGTTGGATTGATTTTAAGAAGGATGTAGGGCAAAACTGATTCGTGTTGTACCCTCTCCTCTCTCCTTTTCTGCATGGCTGGTGTGTCTGCTCCATATTGCAATGGCCTTAACAATGCCCAGCGAGACCTTTTCCATCAGCCAGCCCACCCATCTTTCTAGTACCTTCTTTTCTTTGCCTCTCCTCAGCTGCTACCAATGTACTGGCTTGTGCCTTTAATCCTTAAGCCAATGATCTTAACATCTCCCAGCACTAGGTATCTCCCTGGCATCCAAACCTCTCAACATCTTACCTTCCTTCTATGCCCTGCCTTCACTTAGCTACTGCCAAATTATGGCCTTTGCACCTGTTCTTAATGTTTTCAAATGTTCCCAGTGGCACGTTACACTTTGGATATGGAACATCTAAAACTAATTGATATGTATGTATAATGTTTGAAAAAAAGCCCTATATATAAGTCTTACATTATTACAAGAGGCAACTAGTGAGAAGATAGTATCTTAAATAAAACTGATTAGCAATGAAATACTTGTATGACTTATGTATATGAATGTTTAATAGCATTCAAAATGTCAAAATACAGAAATGGACAGAAAATGAAATCTAGTTCTAATATGTAACTAATATGCAGCTGTGTGATATCATTAAAACTACCTCCCCCAAAAACGCATGCTTACTATTACTGTGACATAAATACACTACAACTAAATACAAATGGCAGCTAACTTATTCCAAAAATGCATACAAAATAATATTTATGTAAGTGGTTATTTCTGAAGAGATACAGAATAACAAAACTGTTATTGTTATTCACATTGTAGAGTAATATATTCATTACCATTTTCTTCCAAGAGGCACACAAAGGCATGGGTATCAAAATAAAGTGTTCTACTTCCCAATGGTGAACATCTTCTCTTGCTGTTTTCAAACTGCAGAGCTGATGCAAAAAAAAAAAAGCTTTAATATAAAACAAGTTATTGTTTTCTCTTTTACAGTAAAACAAATAGTGTATTTCAGCTTTAAATAGCTGGGATGTGTTCTCTGTAACTACAGCTTCCACCAGTTAAAACATTTATGTCTATTTTTTTTTACCAAAAATGGAGTGGAATTTTTATAATTCTCATCCCTTCTTCCTTAAATAGTTAACTGCAAACATGCAATGATGAAGAATATAAAGATGTTTATGATTTTGTACAACAATCGTTTAATTAAAAGTGTTTTAACATCAACTTCAGCCCATTACACTTTTTAAAACATTTAACCAATTTCACATGGATTAAAATGAAGTACATTCCAAAATGTACTTTGTTTTAATCCATGTGATCTGAAATGACTTAGCTTTGGTTAGATGCTGTTTTCCACAGACTGCTTCTTAACGATGGGGGAAAGGTGACTTTTCAACAGAGCTCACGCAATTGTTTTCCTTCAAAGTGCAAGTCATTATAATAATTAGACAGTGTTGGTCTCTGGTCTCCTTTACTATCCACCAAGATGATATTGTATTGTGACTCTGGCTAGACTTGGTCTGGTGTGCCTGCCTTCTGTCTTCCCCTCCTTCTTTCTATGGGCCAAGGATTTCATCTAAATTCTTATGGACAAATTATCATTTCTAAGATAAACTGCCAATTCTTATGGAACTTGAAACAGTAACAGCTGATTACATTTCTTTTGCCATTGCTTTATTGTTCATTTGAATTTTTGAATTTTTAAATTGTATTTTTAATTAATACACATTTTCATTAATTATTTTAAGCCACTTTAGTTGCAATTTTAATTATTTTAAGTCACTGCTTTGTTTCTTTTAATAGGAAACAGAATACAAATCTTTTAATCAAATTATAGTGTAAATTGTTGTGGGATGCAATCCATTTCATCAAATCCTTCAATAATTAGTCTGAAAAATAGACTAATAGTGTAATTTAGATAACTTCTAAATCTGGTCAGCTTGGCTCACTTAGTATGATATAGGTAAATGTTCTGTGCAAACACCCAGAGCCAATAAGATACCTTTTCATCTAAGTCCTTTCTACCTTCTAAAGATATTCAAAGGAAAATCCTGCTAGCCAAGAGAAGATTGTTTCCTTTATAATTTAAACTTTGTGATCATGTGTGTATATGGGGGGAGACACATATTATGGAGTTTGTGGGAGAGGAATTAAACCTTTGCTTTTTTAAAATTATATTTACTGCTTTTCATTTTTAACTCTATTTTTTTTTTAAAAAAATCCTGTGGTAATAATGATGGATGGCTGAAGAGCCTCCCAACAATCTGCGGTATTTTTGTTTGTACTTGCTCGAGTTTATTTTTTGTTCTATAATAGGTTCTCATATACTAAATCAAACAAAAAATGTAGGGCTTCTAGATTAGTGTGGCTCGGGCTATCATTATCTTTCCACTTTGTACTTTTGATTGTGACATTACTTACTGCTTAAGATTGCTCTTGCTTCTTATAATCTGCTACCAGTTCTGCAGAGTTGGATACTATCTTAAATGCTTATTTACTTTAGTTAATGCCGCGTACAATGATCAAATCATGACTGGTTATTTACACAGAGGTAGTCAGTCTCTAAAATTATACAATACATAAATATTAATATATGAAAGTATGCAGCATACGGTTGATATATTAAATTTTATAAATAATATAACCCTTCGTTACTGTAAACTCAGACCTTTTATCATTTCTCACCTAAACGATGCGATCTACTCTGTACCACTTAGAACCCAACCAATCTGACCCCTTCCAAATGTTTCACGTTATATAGTACAACCTCCATGAACTCTGATCAACTAATGCAGGGGTTCTCAACCTTGGCAACTTTAAGACTTGTGGACTTCAACTCCCAGAATTCCTCAGCCAGCTTTGCTGGCTGAGGAATTCTGGGAATTGAAGTCCACAAGTCTTAAAGTTGCCAAGGTTGAGAACCCCTGAACTAATGGGAGCGAGTGGGGAAAGTGANCCCAAAATTTTTGTTGCTAAGCACAGAAATTGTTGTTAGACAGTTAAATGAGTTTGGCTCCATTTTACCTTTCTTGCCATAGTTGTTAAGTGAATCACTGCAATTGTCAAGTGATCACTTTGGTTATTGAATGAATCTGGCTTTCCGTTGACTTTGCTTGTCCGAGGGGCACAAAAGGTGATCACATGATCCCGGCACATGGTAACGGTCATGAATCAGCTGCCAAACTTCTGAATTTTGATCACATGACCATA